CCTCCTCCTCTTCTTCCTCCTCCTCCACCACCACCCCCTCCTCCTCCTTCTCTTCCTCCTCCTCCTTCTCCTCCTCCTCCACAACTTCTCGTTTGATAAAGCAACCAACATAATAATATTAACAAACGATCTGATCTCTCGTTTCCCCCCAGACATCGACCTACCTGGATACATCCGACGTAAGCCAGCCCTTTGTTCCCACCCCCCTCGAACACCAGATTCTCGAATGGAAACTCAAAATTCTTGGGGTCGACAGTCAGAGCGCTGTGGTCAACGTCGTCAAGGCTGGACACTGTCCGGAGGAACCTGGCCCTGTATGCCTCCAGCTCTGTAACAGGCAGGTCTGAACAGGGGGAGGGGGTGGGGACTTTGATGTGATTAAATGGAAATTTGTTATATAGTAATAATACATAACATTTATATCAGCACATGTCCCGACTCGAAAGCAAGCTCTATGCGCTTTACACTATATTATATAGAGGGATCAGGGAGAAGGAGAGGAATAGTCAAGGGGGGGAGGGGGTGGATTGAGGGCAGGGAGTAGGAGGGTGGTAGAGGAAGTGAGGGGGAGGCATTCAGGGGTAGTGGGATGGTTAAAAGGGGAGTACTAAGGGGGATGGGTTATAGTGGTAGTACGTCGGAGGTGGTTAATGTGGAGTGGTTAAGAGTTTAGTGATGTCCTATTTAGGGGGAAGTAGGATGGTGTAACCGGGGAGGGGAGGTAGATGGAGGTTAAAAAGGCAATCCCTCATCATCACTATTATTTCTAAAATCATCACCGCTCTCAGATCAATGACTTACATCTATAATCCTGGAATCTCTATCTGCTATTACAGTTAATTGTTATACTAAATACGCTCGTAATACACTGTTGGACACTATCATATGCACTTTTTCTACTAATCAGATGGCGTCAATCTCATATAAATGGGTAAGGGAAAAAAGGAGGGTGGTGGTCAGGGAGAAGGCAGTTTAAAGGTGGGGGGTAAAGGAAAAAGGGTCAAAGAAGGGGGATGTCGCCAGTAGCAAAGGGAGATGTAAGGAGCAGGGACGAGGGGGTGGGGGAGCGGGTAGGGAAGGATGGCTGTCATGGAGAGGTCAAGGAAGCGCTAAAATGCGCTAAATTGTACGGGGTTTAACGCTTTTTGCAACACTGTTAGTTTATTTAAGAGGCGGAACCTCCGAATCTAACATCCATTGCCAACAGAACCGAGCCAAACGGGAATATTCGTGTAAAGTGTCCATCTCAAAGGAGGCAATGTTGGATCGAACTGAGTCGTGAACCCCTGAACCCGAAATCTCACGGTTATGAGTTCGATATCGATAGTCTAACCTCTAGACTACTGACAACACTAAGCAGAAAGCAAAGAGAGAGAGGAAAGTAGAGGGCCAAAAAGAATAGCGAGCAGGGGGTAGGGGGGGGGGATG